TCACAGTACACAAAAATAAACTCAAAATGGATGAAGAACCTAAATGTGAGACCTGAAACCATAAAACTCCTAGTATAGAACACAGGCAGTAATCTCTTTGACATCAGCCATAACAACATTTTTCTAGACACATCTCCTAAGGCAAGGGAAACAAAAGCAAAAATAAACTACTGGGACTACATCAAAATAAAAAGCTTTTGCACAGAGAAGGAAACCATTAACAAAATAAAAAGGCAACCTAACCAGTGGGAGAAGATATTTGCAAATGATATATCCGATAAAGAGTTAATCTCCAGACTATATAAAGAACTTATACAACTCAACACTAAAAAAACCCCAAATAACCCCATTAAAAAATGGGCAGAGGAGGGGTCCCTGGGTGGCTCAGTCAGTTGAGCCTCTGACTCTGATTTCAGCTCAGGTCATGATCTCAGGGCTCCGTGTTCATCAGGGAGTTTGCGTGGGATTCTCTCTCTCCCTCTCCTTCTGCCCCTGCCCCTGCTCTTGCGTTGGCTCACTCTGTCAAATTAAATAAATTTTTTTAATTGGGCAGAGAATCTCAACAGACATTTCTCCAAAGAAGACATACAGATGGGGTGCCTGGGTGGCTCAGTTGGTTAAGCGACTGCCTTCAGCTCAGGTCATAATCCCGGAGTCCTGGGATCGAGTCCCACGTCGGGCTCCCTGCTCAGCAGGGAGTCTGCTTCTCCCTCTGACCCTACCCCCTCTTGGGCTCTCTCTCTCACTCTCTCTCTCTCAAATAAATAAATAAAATCTTTAAAAGAAAAAAAATTTAAAAAAAAAGAAGACATACAGATGGCCAACAGACACATGAAAAGGATGCTTAACATCACCCATCAGAAGGAAAATGGAAATCAAACCCACAATGAGATATCACCTTACACCTGTCTGAATGGCTAGAATAAGAAAAACAAGAAATAAATGTTGGTGAGGATGTGGAGAAAAAGGAACCCTCATACACTATTGGTGGAACATAAATTGGTACAACCACCACTGTGAAAAACAGTATGGAGTTTCCTCAAAAGATTAAAAATAGAAATACCATATAATCCAGTAATTCTACAATAGGATATTTACCCAAAGAAAAATGAAAACACTAATTTGAAAAGATATATATACCCTTGTGTTTATTGAAGCGTTATTTACAATAGCCAAGATATGGAAGCAACCTGAGTGTCCATCGACAGATGAATGGATAAAGAAGAGGTGGTATATATACACAATGGATATTACTCAGCCAAAAAAAAAAAAAAAAAAGATGAGATCTTGCCTTTTGTGACAACATGGATGGACCTAGACAGTATTATGCTAAGTAAAATAAGTCAGACAGAGAAAGACAAATGGCATATGATTTCATGTATATGAGGAATCCAAAAAAAAAAAAAAAGCAAGCAAACAAACAAAAAGCAGAAACAGACTTGTAAATACAGAAAATGAAGTGATGGTTGCCAGAGGGGAGGGAGGTAGGGCAATGGGCAAAACAGGTGAAGGGGAGTGGAAGATACAGGCTTCCAGTTACGGGATGAATAAGTCATGGGAATAAAAGATACAGTATGGGGAAGATAATCAATGAAAAAAAAAAAGAAAGAAAAGCTGAGACACAAATCCTGGGCACAGATTGTGGAAGAAGTGGAAAAGGGAAGGGATACAATTAAAGGGAGGAGCTGACAGTTTATAGGTCGATTACCGTGTATCGTTCTGTATTCATTTGCACATTATTTTGAGACGTTGCATACATTATCTCTCAAATAGGTTTTTATCTACTTATGCTATCAACTGAATCCACAATAAAAGGTACAGTACATGACTTCAAACACATTCCATACATTCTGATTGAACTATGAAGCCTTGAGCAAGCCCGTCACACAGCCCCTGGAATCCAGAATCAGCCATGGCAAGCCAATGTGACAAGCACATGATCCAGGTTGCCTATATAGCAGTGCCTCCACAGTGTAGTACATATTAATAGCTTTTATGTTATTGAATTAATTTTAACCTCAGGATGTCACTGGAAATTTTATTTTTGATACTTTTTCTCATTGGATAGACTGATGAGTGTGGGAATAAAGGGGGGGGGTATAGAGAAATAATGTCTAGAAACAGAAGTTTGTGGGAAGGGAGACTTCCCAGTCAACCCACTTTATCTAGGAAGGCTTCCTGCATGAGTCAGAGTTGATTTGAGAATCATCCAGAATTAACAATAGAAGGAGGGAGGATCTTTTTCAGGCTTGTGGGAAAATGAGAGCAGGATAAGCAGTGATTTTAAAACTCTTCGGAGTCTCTGATCTAGGCGTGATTCTCCTTTTCATAAACATTAAATACCTTGGGCGCCTGGGTGGCTCAGTTGGTTAAGCGACTGCCTTCGGCTCAGGTCATGATCCCAGGGTCCTGGGATCGAGTCCCGCATCGGGCTCCCGGCTCGGCGGGAGGCCTGCTTCTCCCTCTCCCACTCCCCCTGCTTGTGTTCCTGCTCTCGCTGTCTCTGTCAAATAAATAAATAAAAAAAATCTTTAAAAAAAAAAAACAGAAAAAAACATTTAAAAAAAAAACAAAAACATTAAATACCTTATGACATTAAAAAACTTACTGTTGGGCTGAATGAGAGTGAATTTTGCTTTGACAGGTGTTTGAGATGTCACCAGAGCCCTTAAAAGAACTGACAATGAAGACACTGAAAACTAGTGATGGCGAGAAAGCGACAAAGGGAAGATTCTCTATTAACTAAGGTACAGTAGTCCTCCTTATCCACAGGGGATTGTTCCAAGACCTCCCGTGGATGCCTGAAAGTGCACACAGTCCCCAACTCTACATGTACTATGCTCTTTCCTATGCATACATAGCTATGATAAAGTTTAATTTATAAATTAGGCATGGTTAGAGATTAATGACAATAATAATGGACCAATTATAACAATGTGTTGTAATAAAAGTTATGTGAATCTCGTTCCTCTCTCTCAAAATATCTGATTGTACTGTCCTCACCCTTCTTGCGATGATGTGAGATGATAAATTGCCTACATGATGAGATGATGAGAGGTGAATGACAGAGGCATGGTGAGGCAGCCTTAGGCTACTATTGACCTTCTGACCATAGATCAGGAGGATGATTTGCTTTCCTGACTGCCTTTGGCACTGGTAATTGAAACCCTGAAAGTGAAACCGCACAGAAGAGGGGACTACTGCGTAGCCAAAGTGAGGTAATAGCTCATACACTGTTTACTATGAACCAGGCACCATTCTAAGGGCTTTACCTGTATTAACTCATCTACTCACAACAATGCTGTGAGGTCATTTTAAAAACAAAGAAACCAAGGTACTGAGAGATTGCTTAAGTAAATTGGCTGAGGTTGCAGAACTGGAATTTGAAGCCAGGCATTGACTCTAGAATCCATACTCTTTTTTTTTTAAGATTTTATTTATTTATTTGAGAGAGAGAGAGCGAGCACGAGAGGCAGGGAGGGGCACAGGGAGAAGGAGAAGCAGACTCCCCGCTGAGCAGGAAGCCGGATGGGGGCGCCATCCCAGGACTCCATCCAGGACTCTGGGGCCATGACCTGAGTCAAAGGCAGCCACTTAACCGCCTGAGCCATCCGGACACCTCTAGAATCCATACTCTTAACCATGGTGCTTGACTATCTTTTTCTTAGAAAAAGAGGAAAGGTAGAATAAATTCTGGAACGTCTTTATGATACCTCATACTGGTAACTTAAAACTATGGTGGCATTGAAATGTGAAATACAGGCGCCTGGGTGGCTCAGTCGTTAAGCGTCTGCCTTCAGCTCAGGTCATGATCCCAGGGTCCTGGGATGGAGCCCCACATAGGGCTCCCTGCTCGGCAGGAAGCCTGCTTCTCCCTCTCCCGCTCCCCCTGCTTGTGTTCCTGCTCTCTCTCTCTCTCTGTCAAATAAATAAAATAAAATCTTAAAAAAAAAAAAAAGAAATGTGAAATACATAGTTATCTCCGCTACTTCATCCCCATTGCTTATTCCCTTTGGCTTCCTAACCATATCACTCTCTCTCGAGTGATTCTTAGTTTAAATGTAGGTGACCTCAACTCTAAAAAAAAAACAAAACAATGTATATTTGATTTTTAAAAAAATATCGCATGGCTTATTCCTATTTGAAAAAAGATCCGCTGAGGCTTTTTAAGTTAAGGATCCAAGATAACTAGATTTAATAGATAATTAGATTTTTGGCTTTGAAGAGTATTGAAATACCTTTCAGCTATGTATTGGATTTGCAGCACTTTGAGGAGTATTCAGGAACGGTTAATACACTAATTACTAGAGGTCACAAGAGTTGCCAGAATTGACAGTCTTGTCAATCTCCTTACACTCCAGAGTGTGAAATACAGTAGGAAAGTAGGAAAATGATGCAACTTCCAAATTAGGATGGGGAATGGTATTGGAAAGTAACTTTCCTGCCGGGCTCCAGAGTTCCTAACGTATTTAAGCTACAAACTACAAACGCGATAAAGACATCTAATTTTTCTACAAATCGTCACAGCTACCCGGGCAAACTGGAAAATAGATCTTAACTGAGTCAGAGTTGCTGTTCTTCAAATAATGCGCATGGGTTTCTTGAAAAGCCACCGAGTACCAACTCTAATGCCGGTCCAAAACTGCTTTTTTAAAGTCTCCCCCAGAAATGCACCCCTTCAGCCTTGCTGCTTCCTGGATATACCCTCCGCAGGTTTCCCCAGTCTCCGCCCTGGACGTCAGCCTCTGCACCCCGAGGCCAGCTTGGAGGGAGGAGAGGCAGAGCTGAGGGAGAGAGGAGAGGCAGAGCTGAGGGAGAGAGGAGAGCCAGCGAGCGAAATGGTCAAGTCCTCCTTAACTCCGGGCCCCCTCGCGGGCCTCACCCCTCCTCCCGGGGGCTGAGACTGGAGAGGAAGTGGGAAGGCTCCAATCTGCTCCTCACGCCAGCGCCCTCATGCCCCCACCCTTCTCTTCAGCTCGGGGCTTCGGCGCGCCTCACCCCCGCCCCTCGCCCCGGGAGAGGAGCGGGCGGCGCGGTAGGGCTCGCGGAGAGAAGCCGGGGGGAGCGGACAGCCTCCGCTCGGGAGCAGGAGCCCGAAGCCGCCCGCCCACAGCCGAGCCAGGCCCGAGGACAGCCCCGGAGACCGCGGCGGCCGGATGCGCGGGCGCGTCACTTCCGGGCGGTGCAGCGGCGGCCGCTTGGAAGATGGCTGCGCCCTGTGGCTCGGAGCTGCCCGCCAACTCGCCGCTAAAAATCCCGAAGATGGAGGTGCTCTCCCCGGCTTCTCCTGGTGGCCTGAGCGACGGAAATCCATCGCTGTCCGACCCTTCCACGCCTCGGGGTGCCTCCCCGCTCGGGCCGGGCAGTGCGGCGGGCTCAGGGGCAGCGGCGTCCGGGGGTCTCGGGCTGGGGCTGGGGGGCCGCAGCGCCGCCTCGTCCTCGGTCTCCTTCTCCCCTGGTGGCGGCGGTGGCGGGGCTGCGGCAGCCGCCGCCGCCGCCTGCCGGGGCATGTCGTGGACGCCGGCCGAGACGAACGCGCTCATCGCAGTGTGGGGCAACGAGCGGCTGGTGGAAGCGCGGTACCAGCAGCTGGAGGGAGCCGGCACGGTGTTCGGCAGCAAGGCCCCTGGGCCAGCCATGTACGAGCGCGTGTCCCGGGCCCTGGCCGAGCTGGGCTACGAGCGGACCCCGTCCCAGTGCCGGGAGCGCATCAAGGTAACCGGCCGCCCGGCCTGGGGCAGCGAACCAGAGGCAGAGAGAAGGCGGGGAAGCGGGCCTCGGGGGCGGGGGCCGGTCTGAGCGCAGGGCTCCCCTCCGGGGCCCGGTGGGTGATTCGCATCTCCTCCGCCTTTTTCTTCTCTCCCTGGGAAGGGGGCTTTTTTCCAGATGGCCGCCAGCCCGTAGGTTTCCTGAGTTTGAAGTTGGGCGTGCCTGCCGCCGCCCCTCTTTCTTGCCAATTGAGGATGTTCCTGCGCTCTGAAGTTGGTAGTTTCTCATTGTGCGCTGTGCAGCAGTCCCCGTGTCGCTGGCGCCTCTCGCCCCCACCGCCGGGGCCCCTCGCTTTGTTCCAGGCTGAGGGGCTCCCAGGCAGAGGCTTACCAGCCGGGGCGGCTTTGAGGAAGGGTAGAAGAGGGGGGCCGGTGAGCCCCCAGTTTAGGAATTTTCAAATGAGTGGCAGTGCAGAGCCATGCAAAAAGCGCCTTTGGACGACTGGCCTTTGTGTCAGTCGCCTTGCTTCTAACTTGAGCTTCGAAGGACGAGTAAGACTTGAGATGCTTTGGAGAATTGGAAAGGCTTGATTGCAGTCAGCTAGTGTATTGTTATCGTGGAGTTAGGGGCGCAATTAAAGTTAGCCTGGCTGAGAGTTGGTGTGGAATTTGTGGAGTGTCGATGCCTCCAGAGTTAGATTGGCTTGAGGCCCTGCTATGTTTCTGACTAAGCTCCTTCATGAAAGCCAGTTTTTTCCCTGCTTAATTAGCTATTGTGCCGGATGTGGTGACAAGTAAAGCTCTCAGTGTGCATCTGGCTATCGTTGTGTATCTGAATGTTTAACTACAGAGGATTAATTTGGGCTAGAAATTTTTATCACCAGCCAGGTTATCTTTTCGCTGTTTCTACTGACTTTTAATCTAGGCTTTCAGGTTTGTATTATGGGCAGCTAGGGAATTGTAAGCTAGTTCCCTCATCATAGTGTCTGCTATGTAAGCTAGTTCCCTCATCATAGTGTTTGCTAAAAGATTCTGTTAGGATTCTTCCTCCCAGTTTTCAATGAACTACTTCTTGGTAAAAGTCATAGTTATGTGTGTACTTCTTTTCTGATAGGGTTGACACTTTTTCCAGAGCTCTTTGGGGGTAAAAACCCAGTGAAAACAATCGCAATCACACTAAAGTCAGAGATTGCTCCAGAGTTGGGGAGATCTTGGCTCATGTAGTATTCATCCTGGGGCAATGTTGCTTAGAAAATTTGGGTCAGAAACTGAGATATTTCAAACTTATTAACTATTGTTCAAGGAATTTGGCACCCATTTCTCATTTACAAAATTGAATTGGTGTACTTGATAACATGTACCTTTAGGTCTTCTTATGCCCCCTCTTTCCCCGCCCCCCCCAGCCTAACAAGGTGTCATTAAAATAATTGTTTCTAGACAGGACTAAAGTAGTACCTAATAGTAGCTACTGTTTCCTGAATCTCATTCATTTTTCTATTAAAGAATAGAGTTACAAATTCGATTTCAAGGTCATCAGGGTTAAATTTCTGGGCGAGTTTTTGCACTGTGCTGGTTAGCATCCACCCATCAACTTTTCTTGACTTAGAAGTGTACTTAGGCATTTGCAACTGTTTTAGCTTGATCGATTTTTGTCCGTAGAAATTTCCCAAATGGAAAAAGTGTTGTGCTATCAAAACCTCATTGACTATAAATCTCTCCATAAAATTGTTTCTCAATAACCAGGAAATACCTTGTTGGGTTACATCTTTGTCTGGTTATGAGAAGCATAACCTAAAGCAAGGAAAGGAGATTGAGCTTCTCTGAAGAATTTTTAAAAGAGGATCAGTTTACCTGTTTTCAAATAGGTAAGACCAAATTGACCTCAAGCTCTTAGAATATTTTGAAAATATGTTGATGCTAATGGATTCCTAATCAACAGTTGTAGTTGACAAGGAGGACAGATAACTGTGTGTGTTTTTTCTCTACTTGTTAAGTGATTTCAACCAAGGAACCAGATTGCTTCATTAAGAATGTTGGCCTTTCCTGCCAGAATTATAAGCTCCATAAGGCAAGTTCTGGTTTCTCTTATTCACTACTCTATCTCCAGTGCCTAGCACATTATAGACACTGGATACATATTTATTAAATTTACCAAGTAAAGTCTAGAAGGAGAATTTTGGGACGTATAGAAATCTAGATCAGTGTTACTTAAACTTTAATCCAAAGACATAGACTTTTGAAACCCCGTTTGAAAAATTTTGCATTGAAAACTAAGCTCTGTCCCTCCAGAAGACTTACCATGAATGTAATCTTAAGCATAGAAGCAAATGTTGTCACTGAAATAATAACCTTACACAGTTATGAGGTGGATGTCCAAGTAATCCAGAATATATTTATGAAAATAAAAACACAACCTTAAAAATATCGTCAGAGAATCTCAAATCCCTGAAAACAAATCTTTAGATCCCAGTTGCAGAAATGCCTGTTTAGAATGAATAATTCAGAAATCTCTTCTTTTACTTTATTGTCTTGATGAGAACTGCAAAAAGAAATTCAACAATCTTTTTTGCTTTAGATTTTATAAAATAGAAAAGAAGTAGTGCAGGAAGATATGGACCATGAGGAACTTCTTAAACAGACTAACGTGCTCACTTAAATGTGAACTCATGGCAGAGGCTCACAGGGAAGGAACATCATGTGTGTCAATTAAATTTCTGGCTGAATGCATTTGGAATATTTATTAAAACTCAATTATGAAAACTCCGTAACTAATGTCTTCTAAGTTTGAAAGGAGGGAAGAGATATACAGTAACTTTCCTTTAATCCTAGTTTCAGCATGTTGATGTAGCAGCCTTCCATCTCATCCTAAGAAGGCATCAGAAAGCTGAGTGCTAGCCCAGCCTCTTCCCTGGCCATCTTCCTGAATAAACTGAAAGCACATCGCTTCCCTTTTCTGGACTGTGTTTTAGATTTCCTGTCTATTAAAATTGTAAATTTTGAAATTAGTAACTCTTGGATTTTGCTACCAGAGTACTATTTTTGAATACTATCCAAGTAAATATGTATATTTCTAAGTGCACAGGATTTTACTTAAAGTCACACAGAAACATTTGTTTATTGCTGTAAAGGTTTTCATTTTGAAGTCTGACATGTCGTGTTACTGGTATTTGTTCAGTCATTTGGATGAAATGGATGTGTTTGAGACTGCCTTACTCCACAGATTGTTTGGTTCTGAAGTTTTGTTGTTGTTTTTTTTGTTTGTTTGTTTGCCAGAAGAAAATTTGTCCACTAACAATTCCAGCCTAATTTTGGAGTCAGAGAAACACATAATAAGGTGGTTTTCTGTCCGGTCATTGCATGATTTTTCTCTTCTATAGTCCTTTTCTCCCCATCTCCATCCACCAAGTACTTGAGTGCTTACTGTGTGCAGGGCTGTATGCTAGATGTTAGGATAAATAAAAGAATTGTAATATACAGTCCAAGAGCTTACAGTGCACTTGAAGTCTGTATACACACATCAAAGAGTTAAAAAACTCTACAACACAAGGGATGGTATGTGATGCAGTATTTGATTAAGTGTCATATGACTAAAGCAGACAATAAATGTGATGACTTCAAAGGAGGGAGAGATCTCATCACAGTCCATGCTGTAGTATTTGAAAGATCTATCTAGACTTGGCATTCATGAAAGCATTCACTTCGGAGCCAGATGCTGTATTCACACTTCAGTCAGTTAATCTGATGCACTGCAAAACTAATTCTCAAGTCCCATATTTTTGGGTGTTCTCCAAAAATTTGCCTCTTGAGAGTTGGCTTTATGTCTTTGAAACAGATGTGTACTTCTAGCTCTGCCTCGAGATGAAAAGCAAGGTGATTGTATGACCTAAAAAGCTTGTCTTTGCTGGATCAGTACGGGTTGCTCATCAGACAAATTTAAAACTGGTTGGGAGTCTTCTGCCTAGCAAACAAAATGATCAGTCTTTTAGGGAGATTTCTTAGATTTACTCATCAATCATTGTCATAATCTTTAGGACAAATTTCATACTTTAACAGACAAATGACATGTAGTACATTTGGTCTTTCATTTTAGCTCTCAAGCCTTGTCATTATTTGTTTGCAAGAACCAATAGGGTAAAGATGACACGGAGCCAGAAGATACCTTTGTCCCTGTATAAGCATTTTAATAGACTTCACCAATTTCTGAGGACTTTCCTCTGGGGTTTGCAGCCAAGACGGTCCCTCTGTACTATCATTGAAAGATTTCCAAGAAATACGGTATACCAAATAGTTTGTAAGAAGGATTTAGTCAGATTTGTTTGCTTCCATTTTTGACATATTCCTCTTCTGTTGTTCCCATGCCGCTGTCACCCAAAAGCTTGTGTGTTCCAGAATGCTTGTCTGCTTGTGAATCTGATACAGGCTTGATGTGTATCTTAAGAGAATAGACCATCTTAGACTACTGACCATACACTTACAGTCTTTCAGTTTAGGAGGTAAAGGTCTAACAAGCACATGTTAAAACTTTGGATGAATAGGCTTCCAAGTTTATTTCTTGGCATTTTGGGAAATCTAGTGAAGAGTGGAGTGAAATTACTATGAATCCTTCATTAAGAGGATATGTTAAAGGAAAAAAGAATTTAGAAAGCACATAGTACAAACAGCGCTGTTTAGTAAAACTTTCTGTGATGATGGAAATGTGCTGTATCTAACGCAGTTCAGTGTGATAGCCACCGGTCACTTGTGGCTGTTGCGATGTTGGAATGTGATTAGTGTGCCTGAGGAACTGAATTTTAAATTATGTTTTGTTTTAATTAATTTAATTTTTAAAAAATATTTTATTTATTTTAGAGATAGAGTGAGCGGGGGAGGAACAGAGGGAGAGGGACAAGCAGGCTCCACGCAGAGCACAGAGCTTGACACGGGGCTCGATCTCACACCCTGAGATCAGGACCTGAGCCGAAATCAAGAGTCGGATGCTTAACCGACTGAGCCACCCAGGCGCCCCTTTAATTTTTTTAATTTAATTTAATTTAATTTATTTATTTTTAAGGATTTTATTTATTTATTTGACAGAGAGAGACACAGCGAGAGAGGGAACACAAGCAGGGGGAGTGGGAGAGGGAGAAGCAGGCTCCCCGCGGAGCAGGGAGCCCGATGTGGGGCTCGATCCCAGGACCCTGGGATCATGACCTGAGCCGAAGGCAGACGCTTAACCGACTGAGCCACCCAGGCGCCCCAATTTTTTTAATTTTAAACTATAAATGCCACATGTGGTTAGGGGCTACCATATTGAACAGTGTAGGTAAAAAGTTATTTGGAGTACTAAAGAAGTCTGTTTTATGAAACAGTTCTCTGAGCTACATACTCAGACTTTTAGGGGAAGCTCAAAGTTCCTTTTTCTTGTCCCCCCTGTCACTTTATTTCTGAGGAGGAGGAACCTTGATAGAAGTCAAGAAAAATGGTCCACTGTACTAGGGAGGAAGAGCTTTTAGTGCAAGGAATAAAGTGTTATAACCTCAGTTGGCTGGGGCAAAGAGTGTCCTATTCTTGGTTCTGAACTAGGACGATGCCATCTGATAGAACTTTCTGTGATATGAGTGTCTTATTGTCTGCACTGTCCATCGGTCACTGCGCAGTAGCCACTAGCCATAGCTGGTTATAGAATACTTGAAATGTGGCTAGTGTGACTGTGAAACTGAATTTTTAATTTTATTTAATTTTAATTTAAATAGTCATGTATATCTAGCCAATGGCTATTGTATTGGCCAGAACAGCTTTGGAATACTGGTATTTAAACTTTTTTGTTTATGTACTCCCAAAAGAGTCTTTGTACTCTCTTGAACATTTTAAAGCTGACATTAAAATTTTTTCATTATATATGAAAGTTTATAGGAAGTTAATAGGATATAGGAAATAGTAAATCTAGTATGAGATGAATAAGATGTGAGGATTGGCTGTAAATTTACTCAGTAATGTACTCTGAATCAGAAAAATCCACACAAAATTCATTTCTGTAGATTTTGTCAAATGCATCTTGAAAATGTTGGTCATCAGACAATATTCCACTTACATTTAAAAGAAACAATATCACTAGCCTATTTTGCTTTAGTTATTCTAAATTAAGGGGCCAAGCTTTCCACCTAAGAAATAATGGACCAGACTGGGAATGCCAGGAATCCCTAAGGTTTTAAGGTGCCTTGATTAATCATTAAAGGAAGAGTAGGGATACCCCAGTGGGAGGCCACTGCATTAGAACTCTGAGCATCTTTCTGATACCTTTCTTGGCAGATATAGTGGGGCTGGGCCCTTGGATTCCACTGCCCTTGGGAAACGGGAGAAATCTGTGGAGCTTAACTCTTGGCTAAAGTGCAAGAATCTGTGGGAAGATTTGGAGATTTTGCCCATCCCTTTCATCAGACTCAACTGACAGATTGATCACAGGGTTTCTCCAAATACTTAAGTGTGAAATAGGCACTTGATTTTTTTTTATTATTCACCCACAAATATTTGAGTACCTTGCATAGTAGACTTTAGACATGCAGCAGGGTACCATCTACCATCAAGTGTCCACCTTCCACTGAAGGAGTCAGGCTACTAAAGCACCAGTTACGGTATTGTGAGTAAGGTCTGTGTTGCATGTTGACGTTAAGTTCGTGGTGCTTCGGGCGCACACAGGAAAGGCATGTCATCATAGACTTTCAGGAGGTGGGGCTTGAAGGTAAAGTGGGACCAAACTGAGCAGAAGAAAGTAGAGAGAGATGAGCGGTTGGGGTAAAAGGCCAGAAAACGCAGAACCTAGAACAGTGCAAACCGCAAATACAGCAAAATATATTTTATTCAAGAATCCTAAACTGGAAACATCTAAATGCTGTAGTTGTTCCAAAAAATTTATAAGTGATAAGTTACTTACGAAGTCATGCATTTCAATTGAAGAACAATTTGTTATAGTGCATGGCATTTGGTGAAGGTAGGACTTAGAATCTACAAATGACTAGTTGGTGGTGTCCTTAAGAACCAAGAAAAAGGTGGAGCAGGTAGTTTTGGAATAACAGTAGAGTGCGCATACCAATTCTAGACAGTTTTATGGTTGTTGTTTTTTTTTTAATTTATTTGACAGAGACAGCGAGAGAGGGAACACAAACAGGGAGAATGGGAGAGGGAGAAGCAGACTTCCCGCTGAGCAGGGAGCCCGGTGCGGGGCTTGATCCCAGGACTCTGGGATCATGACCTGAGCTGAAGGCAGACGCATAACGACTGAGCCACCCAGGCATTCCTACGTTTTGATAAATAACCTTTTTATAGTATTGGATTGTAGTTGTGCAAATATCTATTATATATCTCATTCTTATATACTGGAAAGAAAAACCAAAGCAGTGCATCTTTTGAACATACAATAGGAAGACATATATTTTACCCTGTGGCCTAATATTCCTATGATATATATGTGTAACTGAAACACTTTCACAGAATTATGGTTATAGCTAAGACTTACATAACATTTGTCACATGCCATGCATTGTTGGAAGTGTTTCACAAATACTCATTTACTTAATCCACAAAATGATATTCTCCTTAACTATGTGTAGTACACTCTGGTATGTTCTGTTATATGTGAGCACAGGTGATTTAGCTTCAAAACCACTAGGCCATATGTCCTCTTGAGTATCCTAAGTATACAGTATCTGAAAGCACCCAACACATTGCCTGTCTGGTAGGCTCTCTTTCTCCAGTCCCCTCCCTACATTCTCCTCCTCCTCCACCAATTCTGCCCCAGGACTTTGCAGCATTGCCTCCCCTTTTCACCCCAGTCCCTCTGGTGCCTCTCATCTTTCCCTTCCCCAGCCACAGCCTCAAGCTCCCTCACCTAAAACTGGTGCAAAGAAAACCTGGGCAGATGGGGGTGCCCGCTCCCACTGGTACTGGGCAGCTGGCTTACTCCTTGGGGACTGGCAGCTCAGGGTCACGTTGGTCCCCACACGGGGCACGCCCAGGAGACGGCAGGATGGAGGAGCTGGAGGAACTGGAGCAGGGAGACAGGTTAAAAACTCAACCCCAAGGGACCAACAGATCC